GGATGATGCACTGCTATCACAAAAACTAATTCACCAGTTGGTGCATTTTCATATGATCTCTCTTGACGCTGTTTTTACTATAGTTGTTATAGTACACACAGTACTGTATACGGTATAGTATATATGAAGTGTATAGTGCTTCCTATGTACTACTTGCAATCGCGCATTTATCACGAATATCCTTGTCTCCGAGGATAAGGTTCACTTCAACACTCGAAGTCCACAGGAGCATGGGAAGGTGAAACACCGTAGAAAATCTGCTCAACCACTCACCACGAACAAGACAAAACTAGATGCAATAGCCAATCCAATTGGTGCCATTATGAACTCAGGATTCACAGCGTTTCCAAGCCGTCCCATAACTGGCACGAAGAAATCGACGCATTGACTTATCGCATATGTGGCAAACACAAAAACTGGAGTGAAACAGAAGAGCTGAGTGTATAGTAGAACACGTGGAGTCACTCCTGAAAATGTCTGGTCATGAAGCTGAAAGAAATGTAACAAAATTAATCACAAGTTTAGAAGGAAGTAATGAACCTCATTCAGAACTGAAGAATGTTTCGTCGTCGCCTAACCTATTTAACCGTATAAAAACTTACGTTTCACTAGTCCGATAGCACCCATTACGAAAATCAGGGGATCCTTGAGAAGAGGGAACATCACATAGTTGAAAACGAAGAACGCAGACGCAACGTGGTACGATGTCAACACAAACAGAAGCGCAGCATAGCTGATCACTATGCTGTCGTATTGGACCATTTCAATATTATGAACCTGTAAACGTGATTTTTTACAGAAACGATGATAAAGGGTCAAGGAATTCAACACCTTCGTCTTATCTGCAAAGTAGGTGTGTACCGTACATCCTACAATCAGCATGGGTAACACATACAATGGAGCAACTATTTCAGGAAGTTTATACCTGAACAAATATTGGCTCAAAGGTACGATCTCAGATTTCGAGAAAAAGCACTACCAGATGAACTGACCAGCACATAACGAGATCGAATTTGAGCACAAGCACTACTATTGCTACCATAGTTATAGCCATGGCGACTAGAGCACAAATATGATGCCAGAAAGCTTGACCGAGATCGCTCAGAGTGTAAGTTCCGCTCCGAATCCGAAAAACAACCAAAGCAGCTACCAAAGCGCAGGCGCCATAATTAATAAGTTGCCCTGTAAAGAAAAATCATATACGTGATCGCAGGAATCCGTTAGGAAGACTACCGTAGGATTTCTAGAGATTGGATGATACCCACCTACGGTAATTGTGTAGAAAATGGTGAACAGACCAACCACATCGTAGAAAACCCATTTGTTCGCCTCGTCAAATGTTGCCGCTTGAACGAGGTAAGGGCTTGCAAGTATCGCCTTCACGACAGCAAGAACATTTTCACCGGCCCTGACATCATAAACTGCATGGAGGGATAATTAAAAGACGATGAACATTTAGCTTCAAAGACACGGTACATCACTCACACCGACTTAGTTATGATTATCAAAAAAGGAATCTTCGACGCTAATCACTAATCCGTGATTCTACCACAATACCGCTTTTCATCGATCTAAGGGTTGTTCGACCGTGAGCTTGGTCCATGCGCATAAAGTATTCAGCCCCGTGGGATGGTCACCCACTTCTATCGCTTCAGTCAGCGTGAATGGCACCATAAAAATAGTCCAAGGAATAAGTCATTGACTTCATCCCTGAATCCTTTACTATTAACACTTTTCTTTAACAA